AACCTTCACCCCAGGGTCTCCATGCCGGAGACCTCCCCAGCTTTGCTGTGGACGGGGAAGGTTGGCGATGCGTCTGCGTTCCGTGTCTGGGGATCTCGGGCGTTTGTCCGCGACTTGTCTGCGGACAAGCTGTCCCCTCGTGCTGCTCCTTGCGTCTTCCTTGGCTTCCCCCCTGACGCGCCAGGGTGGCAGTTCTACCACCCCACCTCTCGCCGTGTCCTGTCCTCCCAGGACGTCACGTTTGACGAGTCGGTCCCCTACTACCGCCTCTTCCCCTACCGCACTCCGTCCCTCCCCCCGCCACCGCTCTTCCTTGTCCCAGGTCCCCCCCCGGTAGACCCCCTCCCCCCTCAGGGTCCTGCCCCTTCAGGTGTGTCCCAGGTAGACGCAGTCGAGCCTGTCGAGGTTACTGGTGACTCTGGTGCTGCTGAGGGTGCTGAGCCTGGGGGTGCTGACTCTGGGGGTGCTGAGCGTGTGGGTGCTACGCCTGGGGGTGCTGAGCCTGAGGGTGCTACTACTGGGGGTGCTGAGCCTGAGGGTGCTGAGCCTGGGGGTGCTACTACTGGGGGTGCTGAGCCTGGGGGTGCTGAGCCTGGGAGTGCTACGCCTGGGGGTGCTACGCCTGGAGGTGCTGAGCCTGGGGGTGCGGAGCCTGAGGGAGCTGGGCCTGCTCGTGTGGCGTCTGGCGGTGCTGAGCCTGGAGGTTCTCCGGGTGCTTCGTCTCGGCGGGAGCCACTCTCTCCACAGGAGCTGCGCGAGTGGTTTGCCCGGCGCTGGAGGCGTGCTGCTGGAGCTGGAGGTTCTTCGGCTGCTGAGGGTGCTGGTGCCGCGGGTCCCGGAGGTGCTCGTACTGGGAGTACTGGAGCTGCTGGGCCTGCGGGTACGACTGGAGCTGGAGCTGCTGAGGGTGTTGGCGCTGAGGCTACTGCTGTCGGTCCTGGAGGCGGTCCTGCTGGGGGTGCTGGAGCTGGAGGTACTGCTGGCGCTGGTGCTGCCGCTGGGGGTACTGGTGCTGTCCCTGCTGTGTCTGGAGTCGCCACACGGCCTAGGCCGTACTTCGTTCCGCTCCTTCAGCAGGTTCTTGGTCTCCCGCCTTCTACTGGTCCTCCTCCTCCCTTAGAGTGTCCACAGCCTGTCCCGTCACAGTTACAGTTACAGCCGGCCTCCCCACTGCCCGCTCCTTCTCCCTACACTGGTCCTACTGGAGGTCTTGCTGAGCGTCGTGAGCCTGCGTCTCGCCCTGCGTCGCCTGTCCGTGCTGCTCGCACTAGTGCTCGTGGTTCGCGTCAGCGTCCTCCTCCTGTCCCTGGCACGCACCGGATGTCTCTGCGTCCGTCCACTGCTCCTCTGCGTGCCCCTTTGCCTTCTCCTCCTGAGTCCTCTCTTCCTGCTCTTCCTGACCCGGAGTCGGACTCTCTTCGTGCTGCCAGTCCTACTGTCACGCGTCTCCTTGCTACTGTTGTCACTGACCCTTCCTTTGAGTCCACTGCTGCGTCTGCCCTAGTTACTGAGCTCGTCGACTTTGCTGCTCGCTGTCGTCTAGACTACGCTGCTAGTCTTGTTGCTGAGTCTGAGTCTGTCTGTCCTCCGTCCGTCGGGGGTGAGTGTGCCCTTGGCACGGACGTCCTTGAGGACAGGCAGGAGGAGTTCCAGTGTTTGGCTGCTGCTTCACCTCATCTCGTGTCCGTACTGCTTACCCCTGAGGGAGACCCGGATGCACTTGACATCCCGACTCCGCGCTCTTACGCGGAGGCGATAGAGGGTCCCTACTCCTCTCAGTGGCAGGCAGCTATGGACGCAGAGATGGCTTCCTGGAAGTCCACAGGCACCTACGTTGACGAGGTTCCCCCGCCTGGGGCGAACATCGTCAGTGGCATGTGGATTTTCAGGGTGAAGCGGCCGCCGGGTTCTCCGCCTGTCTTCAAGGCGCGTTACGTGGCTCGTGGCTTCAGTCAGCGGCAAGGAGTTGACTACTTTCAGACCTTCTCTCCCACCCCGAAGATGACCACTCTTCGGGTACTGCTGCACATAGCTGCTCACCGCGACTACGAGCTGCACTCTCTTGACTTCAGCACTGCTTTCTTGCAGGGCAGCCTGCACGAGGAGATCTGGCTGCGTCGCCCACCTGGCTTCACTGGGTCTTTTCCTCCTGGCACCCAGTGGAGCCTCCGGCGGCCAGTCTATGGTCTCCGCCAGGCACCGCGTGAGTGGCACGACACACTGAGGACTACACTTGCGGCTCTTGGGTTTGCTCCCTCTACTGCCGACCCATCGCTGTTTCTGCGCACCGACACTTCTTTGCAGCCGTTCTACATCCTCGTGTACGTCGACGACTTGGTCTTTGCCACAGCTGACACTGCTGGACTCGCCCACGTGAAGTCCGAGCTGCAGAAGAGACACACGTGCACAGACCTGGGTGAACTGCGCAGCTACCTTGGCTTGCAGATCACCCGGGACAGAGCACGCCGCACCATTACCCTGACTCAGTCACACATGGTGCAGCAGGTCCTTCAGCGCTTCGGCTTCACGTACTCCTCGCCTCAGGCCACTCCTCTGCCTACTCGCCACTCGCTCTCAGCTCTGCCTTCGGATGAGTCCGTAGAGTCGAGTGGCCCGTACCCAGAGCTTGTTGGCTGCCTCATGTACCTGATGACCTGCACACGACCTGACCTTGCATACTCTCTTAGCATTCTTGCACGCTATGTTGCTCCTGGGAGACACAGACCGGAGCACATGGCTGCAGCGAAGAGGGTGTTGCGCTACTTGTGCAGTACGTCGGGCATGGGGCTTGTGCTTGGAGGGCAGAGTCCAGTGGTCCTCACTGGACACGCAGACGCTTCTTGGGCTGACGACCAGGCTACGCAGCGGTCGTCACAGGGTTACACCTTCAGCCTTGGTTCCGGCTCTGTTTCGTGGCGGGCTACTCGCTCGTCTTCTGTTCTCGGCTCCAGTTGTGAGGCTGAGATCTACGCCGGGGCCATGGCTGCACAGGAGCTTCGCTGGCTCACCTACCTGCTGACTGACCTCGGAGAGCCGCCTCGTTCTCCTCCAGTGCTCTACGTAGACAACAAGGCCATGCTGGCCTTGTGTCGAGAGCAGAGACTGGAGCACAGAACGAAGCACATTGCTCTTCGCTACTTCCTTGCTCGTGAGCTACAGCAGCGTGGTCAGCTGCGACTTGCGTACGTGGCCTCTGAGGCCAACACTGCTGATATCTTCACCAAGGCACTTGCGCCTTGTGATCATCAGCGCTTCTGTACTCAGCTGGGTCTTGTACCTACCTTGCCTCACTTGCTCACCTCTTGACCTTGTTTGTACTGTTGCATATATATATACTCCTGCTCTTGCTTGTCTAGCCTTATATATATATGTAATCCTGCATGTGAACTGGCCTTGTGGCCTTGAACTTGTGCTCGGAATGTGTGGTGACTTTATGATCCACCCTGAGCTTGCTTTGCTTTGCTTGACTGGTCTTGTGACCCCTTGTTCTCCCCCACTTTGCCTATGGGGGTGTGTCAGAGTTATATGACATAGCTACTGTAGGCTATAGTGGGGTAGCACATATGGGGTACAGTTTTCTAGGGTTTGCCTTTTGTACCCAACTTTCACTTAGTCATTTCATTCCTGTTTTCTTGATTCACAACCTGCATGCTTACACTTGCTAGGTTGTGATCACTGTATATAACTCTGTATGTGAACTGGCCTTGTGGCCATTTGCTTGTGTTCCGAATGCGTGGTGACGTCGTGATCCACCGTGAGCTTCCTTTGCTTTTCTTGACTGGTCTTGTGACCTCTTGTTCTCCCCCACTTTGCCTATGGGGGTGTGTCAAACTTACATGCTATAGTCTGTGTAGGCTGTAGTGGGGTAGTTCATATGGGATACAACACTTTAGGGTTTCCTACTTGTACTCCTCATTCTGCTCAATGCAATCATTTCTCGTTCTGTTTTCACATTAACACTGTTGAGATTTATGGACATTTTACTGGCGACTGTTTTTGTCATGTATGCGTAGTTTGGTTATTTCCGTAGCGAGTCACGGAGGCGAAGGTTACAAGGGTTTGCATGCTTAAAAAAAAAAATAACTAAAACCTGCTCGGATGGCATGCCATTAGAGAGGGCATCAACCCTAAACATCATACGACAATGTGTTTAGGGTTGATACCGAAAGTCCACAGGTACGAATATTTATATATTATATATTTTTGCGGACGGTTATAATTATGCAACATAAAGTTATTGATTATGATGTTGTTAGCCAGTTATATCAATGTTTTTCTCGGTTTAAAACGCTTTGATTCGTGGCTCGTTGTGGATGTAAACAATATATGGGAATAAGACATCTGTTTATGCTTTGAATGAGTTTGCGAAAGTGGTCGCGGACTTATTTTGGAGGTAACCTATTTTTTTGTGCGCGAGATAAATTCCCCGGAATCTCTACAGTTACTCGTGAAAATTTCAGCTTTCTATTGAGCGTTTCAATATGTGACCATATGTGATAGAGTTGTGGGGCAACATTGTGACTATCCGTAATAGAATTCCAGATTTTGTGACCATCCGTGATAGATTCCAAGATTATGTGACCGTTCGCGATAGTCGGTGGTCATTCGTGATAACGAACCAGTGTTTGTGACTGGCTATATAATTTCCCTTCCCAATATACTGTATGGTGGGGATGATGGCCCGGCAAAAATTGTCGCGCTTCAACAGTGCGCGGAAGGGAATGGTGGAATCGTCCACACAGGCTGTGCCCACAGTCAACTTCCGCAGTTTCGCGAGGTACTGTAGCCAAAACACTCGCGAAATAGGATGCGAGCTCTCACGATACTAAAATAGTCAGGATGAATGGGGACTGTGACGTGAGGTGTCAGAATGTTCCACGCCCGCCCTGGTGCACACATTGTCCTTGTTCAACCAAAGAAGCATTTTCTTGCTAGTGTCGTAGTGACGAAATACGCCAGCTGAATTTTTTCTTAGAGACTATCCCGGCATGTTCTAGAACATGTCTTATTTTCACGCGCTCCGCAACCGATTACACCGCTCGCACAGCAAGGACTCGTCGCTGTCCTGCTGCGGCAAACGCGCGATCCAGAATATAGTGTTTCGAGGTGAGTCAATAGCCGTCGGGCGGCGGTAGCGTGAGGTACATTCGTGCTTCGGAAGCTTGAACGTCGTGCCGAGCTCCGTTTGTCTTAATAGTTACGCTGACACCGCGGCTGGTGTCGAGATTCTTCTACGAACGCCGTCGCTGCGGGCGCGGGGTCGGTCCGTAATAACGCCTGTGGGGCTTACACGTGAGGGTTGAGTGCCTCCGCTGCGCCTCAAAGATAACCCTCGTTTTGACCCGCTCCGCTCCGCTGGGTAGCGAGGCTTTATATTCCATTTGCCTGTCATTAGGCTCTCACGATGATGATGATTGCCCAAAACAATGTTGTGTTCTGTCACATCGAATCCATGCTTCGCAAGTGATGCTTTTGGGTAGAATTATCGTGAAAATGCGACGTCTGTCTGCGCCACTCCTTATCGAATCCAGGCCCTGTCTTCGCCGTCCTTCTCGCGCTATGGCTGCTCTCGGGCGTGGCCTTCGCGGCGTGGCTCTGCTACTCGACGCACGCGACGTACCTCGGCGATCGCTACCGCCGCCTCGACACGTGGTGCTACGAGCGCGCCAAGCTCTTCGAGCAACACACGCTCACCACCGTCAGCCAGATACGGGTGAGCGCTTTCAACGCTCCGCATACCATACAGGGGATAGAACACCTGCATCCCCAGGATGACTCTCATCCCAGCAAGGGCCCGGGGCGTCGTTGGCAGAGGGTTTCAAAAGATTGGGAGCCTTCTGGTGATGGGCGTACTTCACCCGCAGTCCCTTAAGTAGCAGCAGCATGGTACACCATCTCGAATCTCGCCCTCGCACCCTCTGCCACATGCAGCGCACTCACATGCGCTGCGCATCGTTATCCAACTCCCTTGCACTGCAGCCGCATCACGGTACGATGCATGCTGAACCCATTGCTTACCTTACCCACCTCTACGTCCACCCCCAATGTTCCCCCCTCCATCCCAATTGAAAGTGCACCGCTGCTCCGTTTTTGAGGGAAGAGGAGGAGGGGGGGGGGGTGTGGGGGAGAAGGGAGGCAGAGGGGGTTGGGGAAGTTGATAGTCGATGAGGCACAGTAAAGGTGCACAACGGAGTGTGCATTTGGCAGTGTGCGGATCATAGCAGTACACTCATCAATCTGACATCACTTTGCGGCAGTGACGTGCGTTGTCAGCCTGCCCGTGTGCGTTGCAGCCACCTGAGTCCTCTTGTTATGTATCCATCCACCCCTCCTGCACGTGCCTCTCCTCCACACCCAAATGGCCACCTTTGGCAGACTCTGGCGGGGCTGGTGTCGGTGATGGGCAAGCCAAGGGGCCATGGCAACTGGACGTGGGACAGGTGTCTCACGGAGCAGCGCTGGGCCGCCTATCTTAACAACACCAGCTACTCCCGACCCGGCAACACGGGCGCCATGGTCTGCCTCTTCGTTACAGATGCAGAGAGGTCAGTAGACTCGGTCATCCATGCCCCCAGTTCAAACCCGCCAAAGCTCCCAGTCTCCTTACACGTGCTTGCTGTGCCGTGCGCAGGCCTGCCTTTGAGCGGTTCTACGGCGGCCCCATTCTCGACTTCAGCATGTCGCCGCGGCAGCAGCACCCTCTGTACTGCCCCAGGCTGCTAGAGGTGCACTCGTATTGGAAACCCCATCTGCTAGTGGACCTCATGCAGCGCGGCGGTGACGAGCTCGCCTTCCTGCGCAGGACGGGAGACAACATCTTCACCCGTGTCATGCCCGTCGGAAACGTGTCCCTCAACCTCACCGGCTTCAGTCAGTTCCCCCTACCCTTGCCAGCCCGTCCCATTTCATGGTAGTACAATCTTCTCCTTGCTCCCTTCCATTTAGTCTCTCTGAATTTTATCCCTGGCCCGCATGCGCGGTTTCGTTCCCTGTGAGCAGCCATCGGGTTCCCCATCTTGCAGCATGCGCTGCCACCGAATCCCACGGAGCAGCAGGCGGAGGAGGCGGTGCTGGGAGCAGCTGGGGCGAATGTGGACGTCGTGATGATCGCCCGCAATGTGCTGCAAAACGTGTTCGCACCAGGTGCTGTGCTGCAATCAAGCCAGGTGCTGTTCTGCAATCAAGCCAGGTGCTGTGCTGCAGAACGTGTTCACCTCCCTTTCTGCTGCACCCCACCACTGCGCCTTGAAACACCTACATGCTGACAACCTCCCCCGAAGAAGCTGGTTTGGTTTCCCCTCTGTACCTTTCCACAGTCTCTTTTGACCTTCCTTTCCGCTTTCACTTTCTTCCCGCCTCTCTATAAGACATTTTCCCTCCTTTTTTTTCCGTCTTTTTTTCTAATCCGCAAACCCCCCTGCTTACTCCCCGCGTCCCCCCCGCATGCCCCCTCCATGCCCCCTCCATGCCCCCCCGACTTGCCCTGCCATACCCCCTGCACGTCCCTCGCATGTCCCTCCCTGCCATCCCCCAGACCCCAGCATCACATTCGAGGTGTATGATACCACGGACCCTCAAGGCCTCACAATGATCTACGGCCCGGGCCCACGCCTCGTGTACTACCGCGAGCATGACATGCTTCCCATCACCGACATCTCGCCCCCCAATGTCACGCGCCCCTGGGAGGAGCGCTCTGTGGTGCCGCTCGACCTGCTTGGGGGCCGCCTGCGGCGCTACCAAGTGTGGTGCCGGTGAGTGTGCTGTGTGGCGTCCCTAGTAAAGAGCAGCCACTAGCCTTTTCCCAGGTGTTTGACTTGCCCTAAACCCACACCCAGCTTGCTGCTCCAGCTAGGCCGTTTTCCCCTTCCTCCATCCATACAACCGTTTTGTGAGCATATTTCTCAATATGCGTGCCGCCCCCCAGCTACGTCGAGGCGCCAAGCGCATGGCTCTCCTGGTGTGTGCCGTTCCTGTGGGCGGCACTTGCTCTCGTGGTGACGGCACTGATAGCAGCTGTGGCGTGGCAGCAGCGGGTGGGGTACGTGCGCAGCGAGGAGAGCATGGCAGCGGCGGACCAGTTGAGAGCGAAGGCGAGGGCAGCGGAGCGCTCGAAGAGCTCGTTTGTGGCGTCCATGTCGCACGAGCTGCGCACGCCCATGCTCGGCATCGTGGGGCTGCTCGATGCTCTCGAGGACCGCCGCCTCTCTGCCGCCCAGCTGCAGGACGTGCGGTCGGCACGCACTGCAGCGTACGACACGGTGCGCCTCGTCAACCGCGTGCTCGACCTCTCCAAGCTCGAGGCGCGCCGCATGGCGCTCTGCTGCTCGCCCTTTGAGCCGCGCGCGTGGCTCGAGGAGGTCGTGCTGGGCTATTGTGCGCGGGCAAGCCACAAGGGCATCGAGGGTCAGTGCGCGTGCGAGGGGGAAGGGGGAGCGGGAGCTGGGCGAAGATGGGGATTGGGTTTGTTTGAGTGCGCATGGAGAGCAAAAGACATGGCTGCTCGTCTTGGATCAGGGTAGGGTGCAAGAGGCAACTTTTCCGTGGTCGCACCTTCTCGTCTCATACTCGTGCTTTTGGGCACTCCACTCCTTCGTGCTTGTGGTGTCACTCTGGTATGGACCATGTGGCAGTGGATCCGACTCACCGTATCGCTCTCCTCTTATGTTGTTGACTGTGGTGTGACGATGATGTGACCGTGCTGTGATGATGTGACTTTGGTGTGTCTGTTGTGTTATGGTGCTGCTGTGATGGTGGTGTGATGGTGTGACTGGCAGTGGCAGGCATGGTGGACACGGGAGTGCCTGCAGTGCTTCACATGGACACCATGCGACTCGCTCAGGCGCTCAAAGAGCTCATAGGTCAGTCTTTCCCCATTTCCCACCTCAACGAAGTTATAGGTCAGGCCTTGCCCTTTTCCCACCTCAACGAACTCATGGGTCAGTTTAGCACCGCAAACCAACCCCGAACCTCCACTTTTCCCCTTCCTCTTTCTTGCGCAATCTTCCCCTTGACTGTTATAATCACAATAGACTTCAATGTGCATAAAACGAAAGATAGAGGGCACAGTCGGATTTTTGCAGAGCAGCTTCAAAATTTGTGAGCAGACTGGTTTCTGCATGAAATGATGTACTGTAAATTGCATCTGGAGCGTCTTAAAGATGTCTAGAATCAACAAGTCGAGTCACTCGATTCGATAAAGAACCGACGACGTGGTAGTAGTTTGAGCGAACGGCGGTCTAGCAGCATCTATGGTCTTACGATACGAAATAAGAAGAACCTCTACAAACCTCAAAAGCCAAAAATTATGGAGGTGGAACAGTGTCAAACAGTCTCAAACTTCAAAGGGTGTTGAAACCATTTACCACAACGGCCTATACCAAGAGAGATGTTACACTTCGCAATGCAATGTAACTATTTGTAAGTTGACACTTCTGGCAAGCTCCGAAATGACTTGGATTTTGAAACCAATGCTCTTGGTTCTTTTTTTAGTTCTTCAAGGTTTTTTGCACTCACCTACGACACGCCGAACGTTTGACACACGACAAAATAGAAAACGCACACGTCACACAAACAGCGACGTGACACGCGACTAGCAAAAATTCGCTATGGAGTCGACACGCACGTTCGACCTCATGACTCATCATTCACACACATATAATAATGAAATATTTGTGATCTCATGCTCTCATACCATTCCATGCAAACACGCATGCACGCACAAGGACAACAAGCCAAATGCAAACCATGAAGTTGCAACAACATTGACTACAAATGCTTTCATGTACTAGATCAGTGCGTAATGTCCGACTCTCACAATGCACTGTTGCATAGCAAGCTGCCCCCAATCTTCTCAAACCTCCCACCACGGGCAGACAACGCCATGTGCTACACAGCCCGTGGGCATGTGCTGGTGCGAGCGTCCGTGTGCCCTGCTGCTACCTCGCTTGAGGACTTTCTCCACCACCACCTCTGTCAGTGCCGCCCTGCCCTCCCTTTCCTCCATTCCCCCCCCGTCCCCCCCACACCATTCACTCCCCCCACTCCACTCACTCCACTCATTTCACTCACCCCTCCCACTCCACTAACCATTACCGTGTTTCTACCTTTCTCTCCATTGATGCATGTTTGCTGGTCGTTGCTGCTTTCGCCTTGATAACACAGTCTGGCCAAGTGGCGTGTCGATTGATTTCCTTCTGCTGATACCAGATTCTTTCATTCTCACCCTCCCCTCCTTCCTCCCCTCCTCCTCTTTCCAATCCTAACAACTCGTCCCTGCTGTCCGCCTTGGCCCCCCTCCTGCACCCGCATATCAGACGCCCCGCCCCACCCCTCTCCCCCTCCTCCTCCGCCTCGCCGCCCCTGGTTCGTCTCCTGGTTGGCCTACCTCCACTTGCAGCTGGGTCGGCTCTTCAGTGCAGCCACTGCGACGTGCTGGGGGGAGCAGGAGCCGCCAGATGAGGGTGATGATGGTGATGAGGATTCCTCACAACTTGCCATGCTGGGAGAGGAGGAGCAAGAGGGGGAGGCGAGTGGCGAGGGTGAAGGAGACGGTGAAGGGGACGATGCCAGGTGGAGCAGCGGTGGAGAGGAGATGCAGCTGGTGCTGTCGTGTGCCGACACGGGCTGTGGGTTTAACTCCACGGGGGAGGAGCTCTCAGAGTTCAAGGTGAGAGCGTGTGAGACGACACACTGTGACGTTGGGGCGATTTTGAGGATCAGATCATCACAGGCCAGCGTGCGTCTTCGTGGAGAAGTGGTGTATTCGGTTTTGTCTTGCACAGATCCTGCTCCCTCTTCTTTATTTGTGTGAATATATATACAGGGGTCTCTTGATTCATCCCCTTATCCGGCTGTCCGTGGTACCCTGCAGGGGCGATCGGAGAGTGGAGGAGCAGGCCTGGGGCTTGTGCTCGGGCACCAGCTGGTGAGCCCTCTCTCCCTGCGCTCCTCCCTTGCTGAGTCCCATCCCATCCCGTCCCGTCAGTTGGCGCGTTCTCCATTCCTACTCCCAATTCTTGCTAAACCCCCCTGCCATCCACCTGGATATCTCCCTTAAAGCACCAAAGGGTAAACACCTGACCCCCGTCTGAACCTGTGCCCGCCATCTGCGCCGTCCCCCCCACCCGACCCGTCATTCCCCCATCCCCCATCTCCCCGCCACCCCCACTCCCCCTCCCCCTGCCTGCCATGCCCCTGCCCCCAGGTGGCCCTCATGGGCGGTCGCGTTGCCTGCCTCTCCCACCCCGGCACCGGCTCCACCGTCGCTTTCTCCGTGCCCTTAGCCCGAACCCGCTGCTCCCCACCCCCTGCTTCCCCTGCTCCCCCCACTACTGCTCCTGCTGCTGCCACTACTCCTGCTGCTGAGGCATTCGGGAGAGAGGAGGGCGGGACAGAAGAGCGGGGCGTGAGGTCGGCAGGGAAGGGATGGAGATGTGGCCTGTGGTTGGGGGGTAAGGGCGGGCGTGGCAGCAGATTCATGAGGTGGAGCTGCCTGCAACTGTTGGATGCTCGGCAGGCGGGCAGTGCCATGCAGGGCAGGCGGGAGAATGAGCCGTGCAGAGCGGAGGCGGGGGGGCATGCAGGGTGCACGAGGGGCGTTGGGGGAGTGGCTGTGGGCGTGGTGGGGCCGGAAGGCAGCACGAGGGAGGTGAGGCTACTGGGGGTGTGGTGGCATGTACGAGTTGCAGTTGAGGTGTGCGGGTGCTGCCATGCGCATGTGCATGTGTGTCAGAGACGGGCGGTCTATGAGAGTGAATGGAGGGATCTATAGTGCCCATCATCTCGCTCACCTCCTCTGCCGCTTCTCTCTCCTCTAGAGACCTCGAGACTGAAGGGTGATCTGCGTCTTGCTATAATTCCCTTTACTTAACGGCAACCCATGCCATTCGAGCACACCTAGAAGCGCCTCAAGCCCCTTGTCACTCCGCTGCTGTTGCGCCTTTTCCCATTGCTCGCACCCTCTGTTGCGCCCCCCGCACCCTTTGCATGCAACCCCCTTGCCGTTCCCTGGGCAGCTCACGGCGCTCATGCTGGCGGGTCTCGGAGCACACGTGCACTTGCTGCCCCGCCCTTTGGATTGCCCGCACGCTGCTGACGCCCGTGTTGCTGAGGGGGGGTCAAGCAATGCGGAGGGGAGCTGCGAGGATGCAGCGAGGGCACAGGGGGAGGCGGAGGAGATGAGAGATGGCGCGTGCAGAGAGAGTGGCTTGTGTGGTCAGACGGACGGAGGGATCAGGGAGGACGGGGGAGAGGGAGGTGGTGCTGGCGAGAGAAGGGATGGAGAAGAGGGTAGGGAGGGGATGCCATGCGTGGTGGTGGTGAATGAGGAGGACCTGTGGTGGCAGCGGGGCGGCCGAGCAGCAGCAGACATGCGCTGGGTCAGGGACAGTGAGGCTGCCACGAAGCAGGAGGATTCCCAGTGTCGGCGGACCGGGCAGCAGGGTGGGCAGGAGGGTGGGGGCAGAGGGGCGGGTGTGGTGGCGCTGGCGCCGGGGGAGGCTGCAGCATGGCAGGCAGCAGCAGTGGGGCTTGTGAGGCGCTGCATGGCAGCACACAGGGGTGGGGGGAGAGCTGCGCTGGGTGGAGGAAGATGGGTAGACGGGGAAGAAACGAACGAAGAGGGAGTGGGGGGAGGGGATGGATGGGCAGGGAGGGGGAGAGGGGTGAGCCCCACAGCAGAGAGGCAACCTTGCTGGGATAGGGTGGCAGGGATCGTCATTCTCGCTGCGTACACTGCTGGATCCAGAAGGGACGAGGAAGAGGGAGGGGGTGAGGGGGAGTGGGAGAATAGGGGGAACGGGGGAGATGAGGGTGACGAGGTGGAGGAGAGAAAAACTGCAGGAGGAGGAGAGGAGGAGGATGAGGCGTGCAATGATGAGGGAGGGGCAGGGAGCATTGGGAGACCAGGACAGGCATCCCCCGGCCGCTGCACCGCCCCTTTAGCCTCGTCATTACCTGGCACTGCGTCTGGCAGTGCTACTTCTGCTACTGCTGCTCCCCGTGTGGTGGTGTGTTGCCGCCCGCTGCTCTCCCACCGCCTGCACCACGCCGTCCAGGTGAGGAGCTTGCTTCCGACAAGACTCTCCTTGTCTTCCCAGCACCCGCAACTGTCCACTCAACAGCCTGCACCAAGCCGCGCAGGTGTGTTGCACGGCACTACACGTAAGACATGCTGGCCATGGCGCCTGTGGAAGTGTGTGCGCCTGTAAGAGTGTGTGCGCCTGTAAGAGTGTGTGCGCCTGTAAGAGTGTGTGCGCCTGTAAGAGTGTGTGCGCCTGTAAGAGTGTGTGCGCCTGTAAGAGTGTGTGCGCCTGTAAGAGTGTGTGCGCCTGTAAGAGTGTGCGCCTGTAAGAGTGTGTGCGCCTGTAAGAGTGTGTGCGCCTGTAAGAGTGTGTGCGCCTGTAAGAGTGTGTGCGCCTGTAAGAGTGTGTGCGCCTGTAAGAGTGTGTGCGCCTGTAAGAGTGTGTGCGCCTGTAAGAGTGTGTGCGCCTGTAAGAGTGTGTGCGCCTGTAAGAGTGTGTGTGCCGTGCCGAGTGAGCCGGCTGTCGCCTGCTGGGCTTTGAGAGTGCACCCATGCAGTGGCTCATTGTGACCAGCTACCACCTAACCAAGCCCATCGCCTCGCTCCTAGATCGGTGTCAGCGCTGCCAGGTGCCAGCGCTGCCAGGTGCCAGCGCTGCCAGGTGCCAGCGCTGCCAGGTGCCAGCGCTGCCAGGTGCCAGCGCTCCTCTGCTGTCAAGTGCTCCTTGCCTTGGCGCTGCCAGTATCGTTCACCTCGCCTCACCCCACGCCCCTCTTTCCCCACCGCAGATAGCAGCATTTGGAGTGGGTTCCAATAATGCATGGCACGGCAGTACAGGGTGCAAATGGCAGGATAGCCCTGAGCCTGCCCGGCAATCACAGCAGGGCAGGCCACAGGAGAGTGGTAAGGAGAGGTCAGAGCAGCCAAGCTCAGGCAGACATTGGAATGAAGAGAAGGGCAATGGGCCGCAGCAGGGTGGCAGCAGCAGGGATGAGACTGGGGTTGATGCAGGGTGCGGCGAGGCCCGGCAGGGTGGCAGTGTTCGGGGTGAGATGCGTGGGTGTGGTTTTGAGAACACGAGTGCGCGTACAGTGGTGGTGAGGAGCGTGAGTGAGCATGGTGCAAGCCTGGCAGGAGCTCAGCCTTCTAGCTGCATGGCAAGTCGGAGGGCAGGAGCAGCGGGGGCACTGGAAGCGGCAGCCGGAGCGCCAGGAGGGGGGGCAGGGGCGGCAGGGGGGGTGGTGGCGGGGTGGCGCGTGCTGGTGGTGGACGACACGGCAGTGAACCTGCTGGTGGCCCGCCGCACTCTCACCCGCTGCGGCGCCACCGTCAGCACGGCGGGCAGCGGGGAGGAGGCGGTGCGGCGTGTGGCGGCGGCTGTGAGTGCGGCAAGCGATGGCGCGACAAGCGATGGCAGCGCTGAGCTGGATGTGGTGCTCATGGACCTGCAGATGCCCGCCATGGACGGGTGAGTCGTGCCCAGCGGTGGTGAGTGGTGGGCATGGATGGGTGCGTGGTGGGCATGCAAGTGGTGGGCATGGATGTGTGAGTGGTGGTGCGTGGTGGTGAGTGGTGGGCATGGATGGCCATGCTAAGAGGTGTGACATGGGTACATTGTTGGGGGAGAGAGGGGGTGCGACATGTGCGGACAGAATGGCGGCAAACTTTCATGAGGAATTGCTGAGATTCCTACGCAGCGTTCCGGGCGTTGGAATTCAAGCAGAGGTTGACAGAAATCATAAGGGACGAAAATGGAAAATGCAGATTCCCTTTCTTTGCATAAGCTCCTGTTTTATTCTCCTCCTCACAGTACTTTTCACACCCTCGGTCTCTGTGGCCTCTGCCGTGCTGCCTGTGCCACACTCCTCCCAGGTTTATGACAACAGAGGCGATACGCGAGCTCGAGAAGGCTGCAGGTCACACCCCATCATCTCGAGAAGAAGGAACTGACGGTGGTGCAGAAACAGGCTCGCAGGGTGGTGCTCCCTCGCACCCATTGCCTCCAGTCACCACGCTGACACGAGTGCCCATACTGGCTCTCACAGCAGATGTGGATGCTCACATCACGCGGCGATGCCTTGCCAGTGGCTTTGATGGCATTCTGCAGAAGCCCATTGACCCCAAGCAGCTCGCCAATCTAATGCTACGGATAGAAATGCCTCCCCGATTGGGACCCCTACGAGCAATTTCACATCCGACAACATTGTCGTCGTTTGCAGCACCGACATTTGGATCCCATTGATCAAATTAACCTAACACCGTATCGCCCCGGATATAAGCGCAGGCCTAATAATAGCGCACGCGCTTATATCTGGAGCAATGCGCTTATGGCCGATCCTCAATAAGAAGCGCACCCCTTATAAAATTGTTACTTATTATAAGCGCACCCTTGCAGGGCCCACGATATCAGGGTAAAAAATCTTGATTACCTTGATTTCTGGATGTTCTTTTACGTTTGCCCTGTAATTTCAGGATCATGTTGATTTTTACCCTGTTACTTCAGGATAATGTCGATTTTCTTGCCTGAAAATTCAGGATGGCCATATAGTTTTGCACTGAACCGTCAGGATGAAAGAGAGGAACGCCCTCACGTGAATAAAGGAGGGGAGCGGGGAGTGCCACGGGAGGCAGCGACAGCGACGGAACTGGTCTCGGCCTCGAGGAGATGCTTCTCCAGCAAGGCAAGGGTGGTCTCGGTGGGGTCGAGAGCAAGAAAGTGGTCCTTAACGGCGCGGAGGGAGCCAGGGAGGCGGGTAACGAGGTAGTAGAGTGTGATGTACATCGGGGGCGGGTTTGCAGTCAGAAAGGCCGGCTTGAGAGCGGCGCGTTAGCGAGCGTCACTAGAGCGAAGGTGGGTGAAGAGGTCGACTACAGTCTGGAACTCAGACAGCTCAGGGTGGAGGTACGGCAGCATGATACGGCCTAGGGCAGCAGACGACGGGGAGGAGAAACGAGCAACTACAGCGTCATACAGTTCCTTCGCCGTCTTAAGCTGGCCGAAATGGACTCGTTCCTCAGGCGGGAGGGCATTGCGGACAGAAAGGCGGGCGGCAGCATCACGGGTGAGCCACTGAGTACGAAGAGCACGCGCAACAGAATCCTCAGGGGCTAGGTAGGTACCTGACACGTGTTCTAACAGTGAAACGTCCTCCCTAGCCTGGCTCTGTAGGTACGGCTGGAGATCCTTGAGCCAGCAGTCAAACCTAATCGGGCGCCGCTCCGCGTCAAAGGCAAGGACATTGAGTGTAGCCATCGTTAGTAGCAGCAGTGCGGTAAGCGCGGACAAGTATGCCGTATGCGCGACACGTATGAGGTAAGTGCAGACACGTATGCGGTATGCGCCGATACGTAGGCAGTATGCGTAGACACGTATGCAGTATGCGCACTCAGCAGGGCAGGGCGGCGCAGTGTGGGCAGCAGCAGCAGCTTAGCAGTAGCAGCAGCGTGTGCAGGGCGCAGGACAGCGCGTGGGATGTGCGGGCAGAGCACGGGCGGCGCGGGCCGTAGGGGCAGCGTGCGGGCGGCGCCAGCAGCGTGCGGGCCGTGTGCAGGCAGGGCGCGCGGTGCGCGGGCAGGGCGCCGGCGGTGCAGGCAGCGCGCAGGCAGATCGCGGGCAGGGCGAGCAGCGCGCGGGCAGCAAATGCAGCGCGCGGGCAGCAAATGCAGAGCGCGGGCGGTGCAGGCAGCGCGCAGGCAGCGTGCGGGCAGGGCGCGCGTAGGCCTCAGGGAGCGTGCATGCAGTTAGCGAGAGCAGGCCGCGAGCAGGGCAGCGTGAGGGTCGCGCGCTAGGCAGCAAGCGGGCAGCGCGACGGGCAGGGCAGAGCGTGCAGGGCAGTGCAAGCAGGGCAGGGCAGTACGGGCAGTTCGGGCAGGGAAAAAACTAGCGGTGGGCCCTAACGGAGCGGCCCTACGGACGGACCCTCTCTGAATACCATGTCAGAAGTAGGAACGTAGGAATGATTGACTAGGTAGGAAGCATGAGTACAAGTACTCCCTAACCCTAAAGTGTTGTACCTTTTAGGGTATGCCCCACTACAGCCTACAGAGAACAAATACAATATGACAGGAGGGGGGTGGGGGGGAGACGGGAGGGCCTGTGTTCGTTTCCCTCCAGAATCTGGTCCTGCCTTGGCACGAACGATCATTTGCCATGCTGCACAAATTGCATGCACCCTGAGTTGCGATGTTCTCGCTGGCACGCTGCATTACTAATCAGCGTCTTGCATTGTTTTTGGGATAAGGATAAGGATAAGGATAAGGCCTATAGCTACCCTGAAACTTCATGATGGCCATATAGTTTTGTTCTGAAAAATCAGGGCATTTTTTTTACATTTTCAAGAGTTGCCCTGAGGCCACAGGATGCCCTAAATCCTTTCACAGGCCCTGCACCCTTGCTGTATAAACAAGAATTTAATACTTGTTTAGTTATTGTCATTTTATTAGAGCTCCATCAAGGCTAGCCTACATTAGCTTTGATTTTCCATTAAGTAAAACATTCACATACAATTGGGTGACTATTGTCCTAGCCTAAACACCATCATCATGCCTAGTCTAGCCTTAGGCCTGCTCTTCCTCCTCGTCCGATTCGGGCTCCGTGGAGTTGTTGCCCTTGAACCCGTCTGCTTGGATGTCGTCGTCGACCTCTACCTCGTGGGTCAGCTGGCTTCTCCGGTGCGCCATCGCCAGATGGTCTTCGCTCCTGTCAAGGGCATTGCTGATGCCGCACGTGAGGAAGGCTTTCTTAACCAGGTCGGCGGGCACAGCCTTCCACGCCCGTGAAATCCACTTGAGCACCACCGCCGGAGGTGGTTTCTTGATGTTCCCTGCACCACTTGAAAGGGAGTGGGGAACAAATTAGTCCACAAGCAGGCAGACAAGCACACGAAGGGGAGACGGGAGGACATGTCGTCGCTCACCTGCAGGTGTCAGAGTGTTCATGCCGTCCTGCTCAAACCAGGACTGGTACTGCTGGCGAACATTCGCTTTGAAGCTCTTGTTCATCGACACATCCAGCGGCTGCACCTCTGCCGTGCATCCCCCCGGGATGACCGCCGACACGATGTTGAGCGCCGCGAATCTCGCCTTGACTTCCTTGGTCAGGTGACCACGGTAGGAGTCGAGTACTAGCATGGCACTCCGACTCTTCACTCCGAATTTCGGTTTCAGGAACGGCACCACGCTCTCATCGAGCCACTGGATGACGTTCGTGGCGTCCATCCACCCGTTCTCTTGGCAGTCGACCACGACATCTGCACACAAGCAAGTGATGGTTAGTTCCTTTTTTGTTATTAACGACCAAGACACGCACAAGAACATGTGCTTACCGTTCGGGAAGTCACCCTTTGGCACTGTCTTGCGCTTGAAAAACACCCACGGCTTCAACTTCTCGCCCGTCGCCGTGCACGCCAGCATCACTGTGACTCTTTCTTTCTGGTAACCACCGCTGCGGATGGGCACCGACTTCACGCCCGTCTCCCCCACGGTGATAGTCGCCGGCATCTCCAACCAAAGAGGCGTCTGGTCGGCGTTGATTATATATCGATTGTCGATGTCGTACTCGTTTCGATTGATTCTGTGCACTGCTTCGCCACGTCTGCGCACGGGGAGGGAAGGACAGATAGGAAGGCGCTACATGATAAAGATATGCACACGGGAGCAACCAAACTTAGAAACCATGCAAATTTGCTCGAAGTAAACGGGAAACGAGGCACTTACGCTGCTGTGTTTTTTGCGCCACCTTAGTTTTCATGCGCCCGCTGAGGTTCCACCGCTTGCGGAACCGCTCCGACCACCGCTGACTCCCTTTCCACTTGACTTCCGGGATCAGCACCTTCATCACCTCGCATGATCACTCTTGCAGCCGGCCGATTGAAACTGCAACACCGCGGCGTCGCCAGTCAAGGAGTTGAGCGTACACCTTAAACTCCATGGGTCTGTACCAAGACGACCTCCCGCGCCCATCAAGTCGACACCGTGCGGCGTGTGAAGCCTTGAGCTGCTCCGCTTGGGTTTTCCACTCCGTCAGGCATTTGCAGTATATGCCGGACTCCCGCGCAACCTCGCTTACCGATGTCGCAAGCTCCAGCCGCACGAGCCACCCGAGTTTCTCCTGGGCGGTGTAGGACTGCCGTTTATGTTGAGACGGCTTGTGCCTGGGAGAGGGGGGGCGGGCATCTCGGTTCTCAGAGGAGGGGTGGGGTCGTTTTTTTGCTAATCGGCGGATACGTCAGTATCGGCATCTTCTCCCGTGGTGCGTCACGCCACCAAGACTCCACACCGTCGTCGTCCGCGGCAGTTGCACCACGCTCTGGGAACACATCCTCCTCGGCGCCCATTTCACCGTCGCCTCCACCGTCGCCATCGCCGCTGTTATGTTTATCGGCGGCCACGTCGTCGTCGGCGCCCACAGCCGACTCGTCCCACGTGCAGGCTTCAGGCTGTCCCCAGCGTGGTGCAGGCGGCGGAACATGGATGAACACATCGGGGGCCTTGGGTGTGTCCGGTTCAGACAACCACTCGTCGAAAGTGGCTGTTAAATATAGCTGGAGCACGGGCCGTTGGTGAGCACTACTCGTACCGGTATCAGGCGGATTCGGAGGAGCGGGAGGAGCGGGAGGAGCAGGAGGAGCTGGAGGTGCATGAGGAGCAGGAGGAGCAGGGGGTGCAGGGGGTTCAGGTGGCACTGGAGGCGCTGGTGGCTCACGGGTATACCAGCCGTCGTCGGTAAGTTGCCACGGGCGATGTGGTTTTTTCTTGAAGAGGAAGTGGGTCCCGCTGTTTTCGCCATGGCTTCGCCAGCCAGGCGGCCTAGACTGTTTGGGTTGTCTTGTAATTGGTGTGGTTTAGGGTGTCTTATTGAGCAGGTTCCCTATTGGGAACGCTTCCTAGGGCCCACCACGAAAATTTCTCGGAGCGCGCTTCGCTCCCACAGTCGCGCCCTCTCACGGCCCCTCACGGCCCCTCGCGTCGCCCTTAGCGGCCCCTTACGGCCCCTCGCGCCGTCCCTTACGGCCCCTAGCGCGGCCCCTTACGGCCCCTTACGGCCCCTCGCGCCGTCCCTTACGGCCCCTCCCGCGGCCCCTCACGCCCCCCCCCTACGCCCCGTCGCCCGTCGTGGCCTGCGCGCGGCCCGTACAGCCGGCGCGCGGCCCGTACGGGCTGCGCCAGGCATGCGCGCGGCCCGTACGGGCTGCGCCAGGCCCGCGCGCGGCCCGTACGGGCTGCGCCAGACTCGCGCGCGGC